GCATGGATGTATGGAAAAATGTATGTAAAGATGAATATTGATGGCTGAATGGATCCATTCATCTGGAGCTGTTGGTTCCCCCGCAGAGCTGGTGTGAGGGTCCGTACCTGTGTTAGCAGGACCAGAACAACAACAACGAAAGAATGAGAAGGCAAAAAAAGGTGAATGGACAAGACGACTCTGTGTCCTGGCCCATCTCCTACTGCTTGTGTCTTTGTTTCTGCCACGGTGGAAGGCAGTGTGGTGTAATGGAAAGAGCCCTAGATTTGAAATCAACTGTGTTTCAACAACTCAGCCACTTAGCATGGTTATGACCCTGAGAACACCACTCTGTTTTTCTAAGCCTTGGCTTCCTTATCAATAAAACTGGGATAATATTAGCCTCCCAGTCCTATGGTGAGGATTAAATGAGAAATAAAGTTATACGTATGTATGGACAGGCATGCACAGGTGCATAATAAATGCTCACTTACTTCCTGCCACAATGGATTGAAGAATGTCACTGGCATTGCTTGCTTTAAGCATTTATTAGGTACAGAATCTGCATGCAGTAGATGCTCAATGAAACTTTTTTGACTTTAATTGAAAGAATGCCTTCAGTCAACTGAGAGATTGTAGGCAGTAGTAAGAGACAGACACATAATTTTTCTACAAAAAGTTCCTTAAGAATTCTTTTGCACAATGGCATTCCTAGGAACCAGGTGATGCATTTAAATAGTGTTGCATTTTCTGGAAACTGATTTGCATGCAACTTACTGGGAGCCCATCCATGCTGTAAGGCAAGGCCCCTCCCTTTTGCAATCCACTTGCAGTCAACCTCATAGTTGTGCTTTTTTTTTTTTTTTTTTTTTTTTTTTTTTTTTTTTTTTTTGTCACAGCACCTACTTGATGAGGCCTTTCTGGAAACAAGCTGGCGGCCTTTGATGAGAGGCCCAAGTCTTCCAGCAACACCACAGGTTAGACTCTGGGTCCCAGGAACCCCTTGCCCTGAATCTGCCCTTAGGGATGATTCATAATTAAGAGAAAAGCCTTGTGCTTTATGTTTCTCCCTCCTCCCCAAAGGAGGCAGCAGGAGAAGGTGGAGGGGGTGGAAGGGGGATGGGGGGAGCCGACTGGAGCCTGGGATTTTGATTGAGAGGCCCCATTATCCACACTCTTAAAAAAATAACCGAATCTTTTCCTTTTTTATCTTGACCAATCTCATTTCACGCTCCAGAAGAGGAAGGGAGGGAGGGAGGGAGTCTGGGGCCAGGAGGGAGAGAGGAGTCAGTATTCTGTATTTTCAACGCTGCATTAAGCACATCGCCACGGTAACCAGGCAGCAACAAGTGCCAGCTCAGCAGGTTCCCAGGGAGCACAGAGCCTCCTTCCCTCCCTCTCTTTCTTCCTCTCCTCCCTCTGTACAGGAGAGCCCAGCCCACCTGCTTCTGCACAGGGTGCCCAGAGTGGGTGGCTGGCAAAGATTAACCCCTGCCAGGAAGGGTGAATGCAAGCCTGGGTGAATGCACTAAGTCTCTGAGGTCAGAGCGGGAGAGGCTGGTCCAGGGCTGGCATGGTGGTCACGGATGTCCTGAGTTCAAAGCCCCTTCCAGAAGCTGCAGGTTCCCAGGTCTCTCTGGGCAGACTCGATTCTACCCTGTCCATCCTGGGTCTTTCCTATATGGCTCCTAACAGAATGAGACTTGCCCAAAGAAATTCCCCTTGTCCTCCTCATTAGTCCAGACCTTGACAGCCTGGGTCACCATTGGATGACAACTGGCAGACAAAGAAACCCAAATGACTGGCAGGGAGAGTTCCAGGACAGTCCAAATGAGGACAGAGAAATACTCCCAGCTCATCTCATCTGCTACGTGCTCTTATAGCGCCCAGAACCTGGGTCCTACCATTCAGGGTTGAGTGAGTGTGGTGTGTGGTGGGAAGGAGAGTACATTTCAGTCATATCATCATCATCATCATCATCA